GTGGGGGGGGTGGAGCCATGGCTGGCGGCTGGAGAGGGTCCCCAGGACAGGCAACAGCAGGGAGCCCCCACCCACTGCCCGGGGCCAAGAGAAGGCACCATGCAGGTCCCCAGAGAGGGCAGGAGGACTACCAAGGGACTGGGCTGGGGCAAGGCAGGCGAAGCCACTGTCACCCGGGATCCACTGGGGAGGGAGTGGTGGAGCAGACACCCCGCCCTCACCCTCTTCCCTGCCCCAGTCTCCCGCCAGTGCCTCCTGCTGGCCAAGGCCAACAAGCATCCATAGAGGAGAAGCTGTTGACACCCGCCGCCGCCCTGTAGGCAGAGCACGTTGCAGGGGGGCAGGGCGCCGGGGCCAGCAGATGTCCCAGCAGCATGGGGCACCACCTTCGAGTCTCAGCTAGACACCCCTGCTGCGTCACACGGGCTCCACAGGCCGGCCCCGGGCACCCTCCGCGATCAACGTCCCAGGGAAAGGTGGACTCCTCCAAAGCTTCCGGGCGAATAAGGGCCCTAGATGGGGATGAACAGCCTTGAAACATGCAAAAGCCCCTAAACCATCAGCCCCACAGAGGGCGGGGAGAACCCCCCCTCCCGGCCCCAGGTGCTCACGTCCAGGGATGTGTGGTCTTCCCACGGTGGATGCTGGGTGAACTGAGACGCCCTCGGCAGACCGCAGGCTTCAGTGAACACAGGCTCGGCACCCTCTGGTCCCCACGTGAGCCAACACCTGAGATCTTTCTAGACACCTCCGCTGGACCTGGTTTCCAGATCTCCCATAGACCCCAACTGAGCACTGCTGGGCAGGGCCCGTGGCTGCTGGAAGCTGGCTCTTGGCATTTCCGCATCAGTGTAATTAAATGGGCTGCTCAACCGAGAGTTCCCCGAGGTCCATTTAGACCACTGCTCCGGTTGGTCAATCGACAGGTGACCTGGCAGCAAGTGTAGGATCGACCTAGAACGTGCCGGTGACTTGAGAAGAGAGATAGGCACAGGTGCCATGGGGGCAGGGCAGGCCGATGCCCTCCAGGCTGTGTCCTCTGACTTCCGCCCCTGGTGGCCAGGCACGCAGTGGGGTGGCTGAAGGAGGAAGTGGACTGTGACAAGACCCCTGCTGGGAGTAGGCCTCCCTGGAGCCAGCATGGTCTCACATAGCCTGCCCCAGGTTTCCAGGGTCGGGGCGGGCTCTCTGTCACAACTACACTTAACGGAACCAGCAGTTAGCGTAATGGCTGTGTCGCTGGACTCCCATGTAGTTGACCCCAATTCGAGTCCTTAAACTCACGCCGGGCGCATGTGCATGCGTGCCCAAGATTCTGAGAGGAGAATGGAGGAGAAGGGATTGCGGCGTGGCCATCCCCCTTGGGGGGGTGATTTCTCAATTTCTGTCTCTCTGTCTCTCTCTTTCTGGCAAGCGCACACGCCCTATAGCAAAAATAAATAAATAAATCTCTCTCTCAAAAAAAAATACATTTAAGAACGTGGTTCTTGGGGGACCAGCGGATGGTGGAATGGTTACCATCGCTGGACTCCCACGCAGTCGACCACTGTTTGAGTCCCGGACCTGTTGGTTTAAAACTCATAACGGGTGTGTGTGCGTGCATGCCCAAAATCCCGAGAGGAGAATGGAAAAGGGATTGCAGCATGGCCTTCCCTCTCGAGGTGATTTCCCTCTCCCTCTCTCTCGTCTTTGTTTGGTGAGTGCACGTGACCTACAGCGCAAAAAAAAAAAAAAAAAGTGAGGAAGAGCTTGCTGCGTGGAGCTGTGCTTCCTGTGCTTCACAGACCGGCAGCTCCCACACGCGGCCCCCCGCCTGCAGCACCAGGACTGAGCAAGTGCTCATAGATTGGGGATCTGCAGGCTCCTCAGTGCCTGATGCGGCCTCGAGTTGTGGGGCTAGGCCTGGACGTGGTTTTGTTTGGTGGCTCCACGACCTTGGAGTGCCAAAACCTGAGCCTTGGGTCCCTCGCCTGTGCCATGGGGTAGCTCCGTGATTTGAGAATCAGATGATGTCAAGCGCTGCAAGTCCCGGAGTCAGCAGAGGTGGCCTGCCTGTCACTGGAGGCCACACAGCAAGCTGACTCGGCCTCCTGTTGTTTTGGGGGGCAAAGGGAGCTTTTATTCCCATGACCTCATCAGCAAGGTCTGTCCCTCAGAGGAAGGAGGGCCACGGGAACAGCTCGGACTGCATCGGGGCCCAGGCGTGACATGAGGGCCCAAGAATGAGGGTTAGATTTCAGCCAGGCATGGAGGCGCGTGGGGGAAGCGACCTCCTGCTCTGCCCGGCCTCCATTCTGGGGCCACTCACTCAGGACGTCCACACGACAGTCATTCCCCCGGGCGTACGTCACCCCACTAAGCCATGGCTGGTCCTGCAGAGGACACACCTGTTGCCACGGGGACCCTTTCTGTGCTCCTGGACACCCGCCTCACCTGGATGAAAGCTATTTTGAAATGTGACCCCCAACACACACAGGACCCCACCTGCGGGCCCATCCCTCTGCCCTGGCGGGCCAGGCTGTGCATCTCCCCAGGAGAGTGTGACAGGCAGCACCAGCCCCGGAACCAATGCGATTTGGGCCCTGCGGCAGGACTGTGACATCACTGTGCATGCCTGCTGCTGGGAAGAGAGCCGCTTCTCACAGGACGACTCCTGGCCCCCAGCCGGCCTGGCGCGGCCCAGGTCCCCACGGCTGTGGGGGGAGGTCACAGGATCGGGTCGCGTTTCCAACTCGGGTCCCTCACCCCTGCCCTTCCCGATGTTGCCAAGGGTGACAGGCTGAGCCTCATTGTCCCAGGGCCCAGGTGAGGCCAATCGACATCCCATGAGGCACAGCCCTAGCCAGCATCCCTGTCGGGAGTCTTACACCCACAGGGTACCTGTTCCTTGGAGGGAATGGGCAAGGCCGCGTTCCCGGTGCCCTCCAAATTCACCACAGGCTCTCCTTCCACACCGAGTAGGGTAGGGAGGCCCCAGTGGGCCAGACCTCTGGTGCTGCCTCTGGCCCAGGGCTGTGTGTCCCTGGGTGAGCCGCCACCTCTCTGGGCTGACCAGCAGGGTCTGAGAAAAATCAAGGGAGGTCTGGCTGTGGGTGTGCTTCCCCGCGAGTGGGACGGCACCCTTCCCGAGCCGCGCCCCTGGGAGCAGGGCCCTCCCACCAGCAGACTGCGGGCTCAGCACAGAGAGCCCCCCAGCCGGAGTCCTGGGGAACACCTGGACCCCCTGAATAAGGGAGACTGGACAAAAACTTACACGAGCGCTGCCACGTTCGCCTCGGACCAGCAGCGTCCGCAGGCCAGGCACGGGTCTGGGTGGTGGGGTCCCCAGGCCTCTTCGCAGATATGCCAGCAGGGCGGGAAGGAGTGCGCACAGGAGGAAGCCATGATTGTATTTCTGTACGTTCAGCTCTTCGGGAAGAGAGACAGAGAGCGAGCAAAACAGTCGGCACCCCGACAGGGCCTTAGCTTTGCAGCCACTCCCTGCTCAGCCGGCCGGCTCGTGGCAGCCACGCACCCAGGGAACGCTGTGGCCTCTGATCGCCACCCTGGGCCCGCCCAGTACTTCTCAAGTGTGTTCTGACCTAACGCTTCTGTAGGGATTTTTTTCATTCCATCGGTGAGTTTAAAAAGTAGTTTTTGTTTGCCAGCCTTCAAGGGCAGAACTTGTCTCTGGCAGTCTTGATGTGCCACTGAAAGACAGCACCCACGTTGGGTCTGGGATACCCGCCTCTGCGGTCAGCAGCCCCCCAACTCCACCAGCGCCCACACCCTGCAGGGAAGGAGGCAGAGCCAGGGGAGCGGCGGACATACGGTGCCACCCCCGTCCAACTGAGAGGATGCGCCACGCTGGCCAGGAGAGGGGCCGAGGCTGGTGGCGAAGGCCAGCCCGAGTCTGAGCGCTGACCTTGGGAAGAGGCGCGGTGCCACGGTGAACTGCACAGGCCCAAGGCCCTCTCCCCACAACCAGTGCCCCTCAGAGTGAACGCCATCCGGGGCGGTGCCGCCGCAGAACCGGCGAGGCCGGTGCCAGCAGCGCCTTCTCTCGCCCTTCAGCAAGCCGGCTGCGAACCTGGGGCACAGGGGGACGGTAAGGTTGTCACTCCTCCACCGCCAGGTCTGGGGTGCCTGGTGGGTATCCCCAGTCCACGCCCACTAGGGCACCGGAGGGTCAGTCCTCCCAGCCCTGCTGGGCCCCCTCAGTGCCCTGCAGGCTCATCGGTGTCCCATCGGGCTGTGCAGGAGCCCTTCCTTGTCTGGGGACGATCGCTGCGTCCTGCACCGAGGTGCCCCCACCAGAGACAGTGTCCTAGAAGGGAAGGGTCCCACCTGGAAAGGGGCACGGTGGAGGCACTCGGGGTTTTCTGCTCTTAAGTGCTGGGCCTGCGCTGTGAAGGTCTGGACCTCCCGGGGCTCCGCCAGGTAAAGGGGGGCTCTTAGGAATCCTCCACCCCCAGAGGAGCGGCAGGAGGGACCAAGAGGAAGAAGGGTTGTCCCAGAACCGGGAGGTGGGGTGCCCTTTTTTCCCAAGCAGCAGCAGGGAAGGACCCGGAACCAGGGGTTGGACAGAAGGGGGCGCTCAGGCCTCTGGGAACTAGGTGCCCCCGCCCCACCCCCTCCCTCCACTGCAGCGCGCGCGGGAGCCGGGCGGGGGCGCCGGGAGGGACACGCAGCTCCGCCCGAGGCGGGGGATTCGAGCGCGTTATAAGGCCGGAATCCCGGAG